GGAGTTGAAGTCCACAAGTCTTAAAATTCCCAAGTTTGGACACAACTGAACTGCCCTAAAGGGAAAATTTCCTCTCCATCATTCAAAACCAGAGTCACTTTTTCCTCAAGGTCATGGAAAAAGCAACATGTATTTCTGGGTTCAGCTTCTTCCAAACTCCACTGGCTGGATTTTTTTTCCCCCTCCAACCCACCCAATTTTAGGCAGATGAGGGAATAAAGGCCTTCTCATTCCAGTTCCTTTTCTGCCCTCTAGTGGCCAGTCCACAATTTTACAACCTTTTTAGGGCTGCCCTTAGATTGGTGTTAAATTGCTAAATTGTGTCCGAATTTTTGCAATACCGTGGACAGGGGAGGGCTGCTGGGGGTTTGCTGGGGTTCGGAAGAACTTGTACCTAAGATTCTGTACAGTTTGGAGAACCCTCAAATCCCACTCCTGGCTGGCCCCACCCACTTCACCTTGCCCCTCCCAGGAGTCCCCACGCAGCCCGTTTTGGATGCCCGTAAGTGCAGGGAGCACACAGAGGTTCGGGGAGGGCAAAAAACGGGCCTGTTGGAAGTTCAGGAAGGCCAGAAAGTCTCTTTTCACTCTCCCAGAGGCTCAAGGAAAGCCTCCAGAGCCCAGGGAGGGCAAAAACATGCCCCCCCCCCACCATGGTGCAGGAGGCCAACTAGGCCACGCCAATATGCTTTTTAGATAGATGGACTTCAACTCCCAGAATTCCCTAGTCAGCTTGGGTTTTTTTTTTAGATTGGTGGATTTCAACTCCCAGTATTCCTCAGCCACAACTCCCAGAATTCCCTGGCCAGCTTGCTTTTTAGATGTGGGACTTCAGCTCCCAACATCCTCCAGCCAGTATGCTTGAAGATCTGTGGACTTCAACTCCCAGAATTCTCCAGCCACTTTGCTTTTCAGATGGTGGACTTCAGCTCCCAGCATTCCCCAGCAAGTACGCTTGAAGATGTTGAACTTCAATGCCCAGAATTTCCTGGCTAGCTTGCTTTTTAGATGAATGGACTTCAACTCTCCGCATTCCCCAGCCAGTATGCTTGAAAATGGTGGACTTCAACTCCCAGGGTTCCTCAGCCACAACACCCTGGCCAGCTTGCTTTTTAGGTGGGGGACTTCAGCTCCCAGCATCCTCCAGCCAGTATGCTTGAAGATCTGTGGACTTCAACTACCAGAATTCTCCAGCCACTTTGCTTTTCAGATGGGTGGACTTCAACTCCCAGCATTCCCCAGCCACTTTCCTTTTCAGATGGTAGACTTCAGCTCCCAGCATTCCCCAGCCAGTATACTTGATGGTGGACTTCAACTCCCAGAATTCCCCAGCCAGTATACTTGATGGTGGACTTCAACTCCCAGCATTCCCCAGCCACTTTGTTTTTCAGATGGTGGACTTCAGCTCCCAGCATTCCCCAGCCAGTATACTTGAAGATCTGTGGACTTCAACTCCCAGAATTCCCCAGCCACTTTCCTTTTCAGATGGTGGACTTCAGCTCCCAGCATTCCCCAGCCAGTATGCTTGAAGTTGGTGGACTTCAACTCCCAGAATTCCCCAATGAGCTTGTTTTTGTTTTGATGGGTGAACTTCAACTCCCAGCATTCCTCAGCCAGCCAGCCACCTGAAAGTTGCCAAGAGACAGTGCAGTAGAGGGCAGTGGAGGATTGCACATAGATCTGCTATCCTGTGTGGTCGTGAAAAACTCCGCCACCTTTTCAGCGTCCATTCATTAAACGGTGCAATTGATAAATCCCGGACTAGACTGACAGCAGATAATCAATCCCTCCCTCCCTTTCTTCCTAAATCCATCCAACCATCAGTTTCTCGTCCGATGACAGTCCAAAGCGCTACAGCTGATCAAAAAAAGGGGGCGGGGCTGGACGAGTAGGTGGGGCTTCTACCAGGAAGGGCGTGACGTCAATGCGGGGGGGGTCTGTGTGTGCTCTAACCCCACGTGCTCTCCAGAAGTCACGTGGCTGTTGCTGCTTGTGGAAGGGCTCGCTTGCAAAAGGTAAGGATTGCTTCCAGTGGGAAGGCGTCGCTGGCCGTGGAGGATGGGAAGTGTAGTACAGCACAGCACAGCCCATGCGCAGGACGGGAGCTGGGGGGCGTCGGTTTAAGTCTCGTAGTTACTTGGGCTTGTGTTGTGATGCTGTGGAACTACATCTCCCAGCATGCCTCACCATAGTATTGCAATTGTTACAGATTCTCCCCCCCACCCCTTTAAAAATCACCAGATGAATGTGTCCCTGTCTCTCTTTTCCCCCAATGCAGCATCCCCAACCTGGGGAATTGCAAACTTTTTTCTTCCTTTTCTGTTGCAAACCAAAAATGGTTGCAATACGACCAGCCGGTTTCTGACTGCATGCATGCCTTTGGAAGCGACTCCCCTTGGCTTTCGGTTTGTTTTGTGAGGAGGTTTTGAAAATTAATGCAATATCAGGGGATTTCAATTTCAATTATACAGCACGTGAAGGATGTGTGTTTGTGTTTTTATTTTTATAGTTATAATGTACCCTGAAGACGGGATTTAATTTCCTTGAACAATGTGCAATGACAATAATGTAAACTAAACTTTTAAAAAAAACCTAAAGTAAACTAAACGGGATCAATAATACTGATGGAGTGTGCCAGATTTCATTGTAGACATGATGTACAATGACAATATAGGCTATACTATGTTTAGTAAGTGCTACATAACAATGTAAACAAAAATGTCCCCAAAAATTTCCTGACAGTGAGAACAATGAATCAGTGGAACAGAAGTTGCCTCCAGAAGTTGTGAATGCCCCAACACTGGAAGTC